GGTTTTTGCTTCAGGTAGAGCCAGCATTTGTTTGACGGATTGGAAAGTGAGGAGAGAGTGGAAGATACCTAGTACGCTGCAGATACCTGCTAACGTGACCTGTGTTTTCAACTCGGAAGTGATCTGAGCAGTTGTAACTCTCTGAAAATACTTATCGCTAGCTTGATCGCTTTTATATATTTATAGATGTAGTGAAAAAAGTCATAGGGTCAGGTCATCTGATTTTAGTAAAATCGCTGTTCATTCACCCCTCCCTGTTCCGAGAATCCGTGGAAAGCAACATGCACATTTCCTAAAGTAATATTGTGCTCATACCTGGCAGGAGTTAGTACTCTTAATTTTAATCTAAACAATACCAAGTAATGGATTAAGTTATGCATGGGCCATTTCAGCCTTTGAGATGGTCTGTATATACTAGCTTTATGCCTCCTGACCCCTTTTTCTCTATTACGTGGTGTTTTCCTGGTGGGTTAGTACTCTAAGTTGTCCTCAGGTTGTTTTCTACAGTACTTGTGATTGTGGAATGGGGTATTGCAGTCTAAGATGTTTGCTTGATTTCTCTTTGCCATCTGTTTTGTGCTTAGGTGACTGCCAGCTGCAACCACCTTGTCGAATCCAGAAGTGCACCACTGATTTTGTATCCTTAACGTCACATCTAAACTCTGCCCTTGCAGGCTTTGATTTGGAGTTCTGCAAGGCCCTGCGAGCATACTTTGCCTGTACTTATCACAATTCCAAAGTATGCCGTGGAAACCTTGTCTACCATTCTGCAGTGCTTGGTATCAGCGACCTCATGAGTCAGAGAAATTGTTCCAAAGATGGACCCACACCCACCAACCTTGATGTGATCCATGAGCCATGCAATTACAATAGCCACAGAGAAGCTAGAGATCATCAGAGCAGCAAGAAGACTCCTTATATTTACCTATTTTGTGGCTTGTTTGGTGATCCTCATCTGAGGACTTTTAAGGATCACTTCCAGACATGCAAAGTGGAAGGTGCTTGGCCCCTCATAGACAATAACTACTTATCAGTGCAAGTGACCAACGTGCCTGTAGTCCCAGGATCTAGTGCTACTGCTACAAATAAGGTGTGAATTTTCTTAAGCGCTGGGCATGCATATAGAAGTAAAGACCCAGACAGCAGAGGAAGTCACTTAAACCTTAACAGTTAAGTGTAGCTCCTGAAGAGTCTTCTGTGCACTAGTCTAAGAAAGTAAAGCTGTTAAGCCTTTTCTGAGAATCAAACAAAACTTGAACCAAGTGCTTTTCTTCCTTGTGCTACTGCCCTCCACAAGAAAACCCTCTACATATCACCAATAAGCCTTTAAGGATACTAAAACTGATGCTCTGTTTCATTAATTCTTTTAAATTGTATAGTTATAACAGTAGAAAAAACAAATATTGTCAGAGCAGCACAATAAATGAGTTACCAAGACACTGAGGGTTTAGAACAGAGACAAGAAAGGGAACTGCAGAGAATTTAGAGGAGGTAGCAAAAAATTACATTGAAGCCAAGTGTTTGTCAGGTGTTAGTACCATGGCTTTACTTAAGAAGCAGCAGCTTGAAAATTCTGCTGAGAGTGTAAGTCCCTGTTCAGGCAGGCAAGACTTAAGGTTGCTTTCAGCCATTTGATGCGGCTAGAGAAGCAATACATGTACTAGCATTGATGGCTTATAGTACTTTATTACCTTCAGAATACTACTTGTGTCTTTCTGATGAAGGCAGAAAGCAGTTGTGTCTGTAGGAGAAAAACTAGGAGGTGTACAGCATGAACCTGGCTAAGATTTACCTCTGGAGCCAAGGTGGAAAAATGCTCTGAACTTTTGGGAGCATCTTTCTATCAATAAAATTACTTGAATGTACATTTGCAGCCAAAGCTGTCTTTTGTTGACCTCATACCTCAATAGAAATTATGTTATCATCAATAAACTGCATACAGGACATATCTTTCCTTCTGATTACAAATGATACACAGAGGATGTGAGGGATGAGGTGGCCAACCACTGAAAGAATAAAAAGGTTGATATATTCACTCACAGTGCAAGATGCAGTGAAGACAGGAGCAAACTGACAAAAAAACAAAGCGCCCAGTCCAATCCCAATGGCATAGCCATGACCATAAAATGGTGCCATTATTATGGATGTATTCCTCCTTCTGCGGGCAGCCATACTGATGTGCCACCATCACTGGAGGCTCTGCCAACAGTGGATGGTTGGGGGGTGGAAGGGGTGGTCCTTCTAGGAACTGGAAGCCCCTACATAGTATAATCACTACATACATAAACTCCCCCACTCACTGCAGGCAGAGGCAGCTTTTATGCTGTTAGCGTGCAGGTGGGACACCCAATGTTAATGCTGAAGGCAGGGCACCTGGTGGTGATCTCCTAATTGGTTCCCACCCAAGGCTGGCTAGACCTTGGGTGTAAATGAGTCAAGAAGGTCTTTCCCGCTTGGTTGTGGACATCATCCATATGCCAACCCTGCTTCAGGGCTCGGGGTTTAGACCCCAGGACTTCAAGGTGTCACATATCTTGTTCCCTCTTTGGAGTGAAGTAGCTGAAGTGTGGTGGTATAGCTCTTCTATTGTCAGGGTATGTCAGGTTATGTGTACACAGTTTCAAGACCATCAGTACTGGAGATCTTGTACCTACTATGTTAAGCTCCAAAGCAGTTATTTTCTTACGAGGGTCGGGAGCAGGCACCTGGTCACAGTAGATTAGAGCCTGCACATCTTCTGTGGGCACGGCTGTGCAGGAATATTAACGAGTAGAAATCAGTTTTGCTATTGCATTCGTGCTGGCTTTTGAGGTGCGGACTGACGTCAATGATTGAGCGAGGCAGATCTTTGCATTTGTCAGAAGCCAGAGGCTGGACTGTCACATCACTGAAATTTAGAGCTACCTTTTCTTCACTTTTGCCTGTTCCAAGAAGAATATGCATTGTGATTGTGTTCTGAGGGAGTATAAAATGAGGAAATTAGGCTAACCTGCGCAAGATTCACAAAAGAGGCTTCAGTCAATCAAATTCTGCTCCAGTGTCTTTTTTTAAAAGACTCTTTTAAGTACTAGGAAAAGCTGCATTTCATAATCTGCAGTAAGCTTTTATCCTCAGTTTAGCTAAGGTCTTGCAGAATGTTATTTCCTTGTTCCTGGTAGTACTGGAGGAAAGAGGTGGTAGTATTGTATGTGTGGCTAGTGTGTGATGGTGCTAGATAAGTGATATTATCTTACCCACTCTCTGAAAATTATTGACTGTGGTAGCATATTATGCTGGTGTATGTCTTCTCAAACAGATAATCAAGGGGAGAAATTCAAGAGACAGGTGGCTGTACAGCCTGTGGGAAAGTACATGTTACAAAGGGTCTACTTTTTGTCTTTATTCTCCGTGGTTTTGTGTTTTTATTTGACTTGGCATTCTGGAAAATGTGGTAATATATTTTTCTCTTTTATCATACTGTCTTAACGTCCCTGCTGTTGCACAATTGTGGCTACGTGTGCAGAAGCAATTAAATAAGATTTATGTTTTAGCATGTTAGAAATGTCTTTAATGCTGGTATCTGTTCCATGTTGTACAGTCTGAGTTTTTTTCCTTTGCATGTTACCAAACTTACCAGCACACCTGCTTGTAGGAAATTAGGGTTGTGTGGATTTAGTAGTAACTTAGTAAGGTAAGTTTTAGTATCTGTAATGTGCCCACTTGATTCCTTTATTTCTTAATGGAGCAGACTGCTGTAAAAGGTAGAGAAAAGGATTCTTACTCTTTGTTTCATTCCTGTAATATTTTTGTTTGCAAGTATTCAGTTTTGTTTGTGTTGGTGTACTGTCTACTGCTGGGTATACTTTCCTAATTTTGGCCACAGGGTATCTTAGGGCACTTTAAAAGAGCTACCCAGAGAAGTTTGGTGACTTTAATCTGGGTAGTGTTTTTTCTCTAGCTGAGGATGTGCAAATAGATCCTCTTATCTTCTTCATAAGAAGAGTTTCCATAACATTATCTGTTGTTAGTCTTGCTGCTCTTTCATTCTGGATGTTTGAGATTGATGTTTAATAGGAAATAATAACAAAGGTTTATGCTGAACTTAAATTGTGCGGAGCCCAAAGCAAATATTAGCAAATAAAGCAAAAAAATTGATAGGTAGCCTACTTAGTACACTCTAAAGGTGACCTAGTGAAAGCAAAGACATAAAGTATAGAAAATGTAGTTTACTTTTTTCTATCAGAAGTGGCTTAAGAAGCTGTAGGAATGGAATATTTAGCCTTTACTTTTTATGCAGTATGCTTTTGAAAGGGGCATACTATCACCCTTGTAGGTAGTTTCTGCCTTCAAATTTATCTTAATATTCTGATACATCAAGCTTTAAGGGAATCAGCAATGAAAGCAGCTTTATGTGTAAAGTAACTTGTCTTCTCTCTTCAAAACCTGTGGGACTTGAGTAATCTAAACAATCTGAGGGCTATCCAGTATGTTCAGAAAGGACAAGAGATTGCCAGGAGGAGAATTTAAGAAAAAATGTGAAGAAGAAAAGGGTGTTTTCCCCCCACCTCCCCCATCTGGTGGGAAAGTGTGAAAAGCAGGAAGCTTCTTAATTCCTTCATTGGGAGGGTATGTCTTCTTGTAGGAGTTGTGTGTTTATTCACAAAATGCTTTTCACAATTTCTTTGTAGGTGTTTTGCATATTTGTGATACCCATAGTAACAACATCAGTTTAGAATCACAGAATCATAGAATCCTTTAGGTTGGAAGGGACCTTCGAGATCATCAGGTCCAACCACTGAGCCATTAGGGCTCTAAAGTTTCTTCACAGTGAACAAAGCTCACGTCCTGTGGTCTAGCTGGAACTTGAAACTCCAGTTTTTTTGAGCTTATCTCCTTAATGCCCTGTGGTATAGAAACCTGGGGCCTTTCAGATGGAGCGTGAAGGATCATCAAGTAGCTGGGAAACAGTTCAATCTCTCTTTTCTTTTTCTTTCTGATGGACTTCTGTATGAGTTTTCAGTAGGTCGCTGGCCTATTTTTTCTGATGTCTCCAGCTATAAAGAGCTCCCCTGTCTTGGGAGCTGTTTTTGGATTTGCTGAGTATAAATGGCTGTTACAAGGGGCTGTAGAGGAAGCAGGTAGGAAGGGTACTGTTGAATGCATTAAATAGAAGTTTGGGGGGGGTTATTTATTTGTTACGTGCTTTATTTGGAGGAGTACAAAGTCTTTATTTGCTTTCATTGCTGTGACAGGTGTTCTGGAAATCACTAGAGTAGTTGTCCCTGAATAGCAAGTGAGGCAGAGATGCTTGGGCTTGCCTATTGATAACCTTCCTTCTAGTTTGCAGTAACTGGAAATGGAGTTTGTCCTATCCAGACATTTTGTAGTGGATAGCTTGAGGATGTGAGAAGGAATAGAGGCACAGAGAAGGAGAAAAAACACAGAGCTTTTACTGTAAGTGATCTACTGGACATAAAGTTTTGTACTTTTGTACTTGTTTGCAATAATAGGGTAGGGGAAGGAATATGATCTCCCCTAGTCAAATCATGTAAGTATCTCTTTTGCAGCATGGTTTCTATTTTTGCAGGAAGTCACTCCAGACTGAACACAGTGTACAGCCTCCTCTAACTAATATTAAAACATAGGTCTGCCAGTTACCATTTAGTTGCCTGCTAGTACCCGATCCAGCCCAAGACTGCAATGAAGATGGTGTCTCGTCTCTGTGTGTGGATTGGGTATCGCACACGGTGTAAAGAATCCACTTTTGAGAGACAACGT